AGAAATGGACCAATGCAAGGTTTCATTAAGATAACTTCACTTCGAGCAGAGTTCACATAGATAGGTAAAAAGATGGATAGCTAGAACATGAATACGTTTCTCTGATAAAGAATATTTACACTTAATAGGATCGAAAATGCATTAAAGATCCTTTCGACAGTTGGAGCTGAAAAGGAATATATATTCTCAAAGGGTTCGGAGATCCCTTTATATTTAAGATCGTTTTCCCGTATCGATGCTGATAAAGAATATAAATATAGGATAGATATATAGATATATATTCTTAAAGGGTTCGAAGATCTTCAATCATACATTTAAGATTGTTTCATCTATTGCTGATAAGGAATATGTACACTTTATCGATTCGGAGATCTAAGCATTAGGATCGTTTTGCCAGTCGATGTGTATAAAGATAGATATGAGAGAGAGATATAGATATATATTCTTAAAGGGTTTGAAGACCTTTAATCATATATTTAAGATCGTTTTGTTATATACTCAGAAGATCTTTGTGTTACAAATTTTAAGACAAAATTCGAATACTCTCAGTGTAAAGAAAAACACACCCAAAGTAATGAAAACTTCACGTGGTCTTTGAACCGACATAAATAATACCGTAAATTGATATTAAATTTCATGGAATTACTCATCAGGGCGGCTTAGCTAAATTTGATTAATTAGTCTATATCCACACACACACACACACATGCAGATATACGATACTTGTTTTGTGGTTTTCCAATTGCGGCTGTTGCTAAGATGAGACCTTATCGGGGCTCGACTAGATGACATGTGTTTATGGAACTAAAAACGTGGCATTCAATTACATTGAACGCGTCATTTCTTAGGCAGAACAAAACTCGTTTATTACAATGTTATTATACATTAATCTTATAATTATTCGCATTTGAATGCGAATTTGCATTAACGATAAATATATTACGAAAATGGGAATTTAGATATATTATGGACAAATTGTGCTTGGTGAGCGAAACGCTTGCGGAGGATCGAGTTTGAGCCTAAGCGGCGAAGTTTCTGGTTCAAACTCAGTTACAAAGTCTTTGAAATGACTTATTTAACCTATTGCAAATCCACTTAGGAACTCAACAATTAAATGGGAGACAAAGGGGTTAATATACGGGGCTTATAAACATGTTTCAGCGGTTTTTTCAATTCCACCTCTAAGGGTGAAAACTGAAACGAAACCCATTCTATGAAAGTTTTTAGCTTAGCGGTTTTCAAAATTCCATCTATAAATGTGAAAAAAATAGCGGAAATCCATGCAACGAAAGTTTTTCTGTTTAGCGGTCTCAGCGTTCTTGGCAAATTCACCTGCAACTGTGGAAAATAAGTGGAAAATCATTCTACGAAAGTGTTTTGCTTAACAGCTTAAGCACTATTAGAAATTCCACTTGTAACTGTGAAAAATAAGTGGAAAACTATGATATGCAAGTTTTTGGCTCAGCGGTTGCAAAGCCTTTAGAAATTTCACCCGTAACCGTGAAAAATGAATGGAAAACCATTCCAAAAAGGTTTTTTGTTTAACAACCGATAGACTTAAAGCTAACATTCAAAGATGTTTGGGTAATGGGGGAGCAAATTATATTTGGAAGTTAAAGATAATATTTTTAGATCGGGCAAAGCTGGGTAATAGCCACTATTTAACACACATACATATATAAACATTTTTATTAATTGTTTTTTCTTCAGTCGCCGTCTTGCAGTTGCATATATTAAATAACTTTGCGCACAGACGACCTTCGCCTGCACAAAATGCATTCGCAACGCGATACTTAATGCACATCGGCCCATATATAAATGGTTATTATATTTATTTTATTTTTTTTCTTTACCTTCGAGCAGTTAGTCAAGTGCAGGGACATGGAATAATGAAGTGTTTATGCTGTGATTGGATCGCATTTTGATCGACGTGGGCGTCGACTGCATTGCAAATAGTTAACAACAAGCTGCAGTTAAACGTGTTGTTGTTGTTTTTTTATTTTAATTTTTTATTACTTTTATGCTTTGTTGTTAGTCTGAAGAGTTTGAACAATTAACATAATTGTTCGTGTTATTGATATTAAGCGTTGATTGAAGGACAATTTGCTAAATGTGCCACCGACTCGTGTGACTCTAGGTCCCTCCCCACCTGCCTGCCTGCCCCCCCCCCCCCCTCAGCCCCGCCACCTGCTCGCACCTGCCCGGCTCCGGCTTATTTTTAGTCGTGCTAATTGCCAGCTTTAATATCTGATTAGCACATTTGGCTTATCTAATGAGTTCGGGTTATAACCAACTATCGTCTCATATGTGGCCATTGTCTCTGCATGACTGCCATTCCCCCTCCTCAACCAGCCCGCCGCCCCCTCACCCACTGTCTGGCTGTGTGGATAAAGTGCTAAAAAGCTAAAAAGCTAAAATACTCAAACCAGACCTGACGCTGATTTGGCTATTCACGTTTTATTTTTATTATTATTTGGTTTATTTCTTCTTTTTTTTTTGACTTTTTTGCTAACGCGCAATTCGCATTGACAAATGAATACAACAAAAACTTTAATTGCAACGCCGCACAGTGGGATCACGCCTCGAAAAATAACAACAAAAAAACTATATGCAAAATATTTAAAATTTCTAAGTAAAATAAACAATATTTTTCATTTTATAATTTACATACATACATACAATGTTTATGGATTGTATGTTGATTTTTTTTAAATTCAATTTGAAAACCTCAAAAAAAAAGGAACTGGATACTAAAAATATTTTTAAATAATTTTTAGTAATTATTCTTTGAATTCTAAAAACTAGAAATATTTATAGAATATTTTCCAAAACATAGAAACATTTTGAGAATATGAAGAATATTTATTTAAAATTATTTAAAAAAAAGACCAGAAACTAAAAATATTTTTGAAAAATAAGGAATAATTATTCCAAAAAAAAAAAAAAAAGAATATCTGAAATATATAAATATTTTAAGAATATAAAAAATAATTATTTAATATAATATACTCGGGCTAAATGTTAAACAGAGAACATAAAAAACATTTTAAAAAAATTAGAGAATTATAAAGTATTGGATTCATTCAAAGATCTAAAAGATGTATTTCTGAAACTATACGAAAACGTAGTAGAAATATTTATAGAATATATGAAATAATTATTAAAAATGATATTTTCAATGTGTTCACAGAGAACAACAAAATAAGCATTAAATTAAATTTGGTCATTATAAGAAAATTAGATTCAATGCAATTATATGGCTGAAACTATGCAAAAACGTAACTTTTTGAATTTTAGCCCCAAAAATTGTACTTCAGTTCCACTGTGCCATTGGCAACATTGTAAACTTGGGTCTCTTGAACTAACCCACCCCCACGAAACAATTGTTGGCTGCCCCGTTGCGGGCGAAACGGCGGATACATTTAGTCAAGCGACGTGTTCAGCGGGCGTGACTGTGATAATTTGTTTGCATAGTTTATGGTATTTATGAGTAATCCTCGAAATGTCACAACAATGGCGTCATAAGGGCCAGCTAAGCCACAGAACGCAACAAACCGAGCTGCGGAACTGATGATGTTATGCGGTTTATTATGACAACGCCCAAGCCAATGAAGGACATGATGATGGCATAGCTAATATTGAATATTTATCAGGGATTGACGCATAGTATTTTCGTGCTTAATGTTAATCAAACTAATCAGAATTTGACAGCCGATTAATAAAACATATTTTATTAGCTTGAATGGTTCCAACTAATGTCTCAATCTATGGAGAAAGCCATGAAAGACTTAAGCACTGCTTGTGTCGAGACTCTTTAGCACTGCTTGCCGTGCACTGCTTGCAATTATAATCAAAGCAGGTTTAACTATCAGGTGTCATCTTAGCATGAAGTAGTTCTCTTTACGATTTATGGCTTTAGAGTGTTTCTTTTTAAACATTCGATTAAATTGATGGCTAGAAAATTGAAACTATAAAAATACTAAAAGAGTTAAATAATTAAAGCTGAACAATCTGGTGTCATGTCGGCACAAATAAAACTATAAATTTCCATAAAATAACTCCCTTTTCGATATTTGAATTTTAAGTCTTGTTTTGAAGATTAAATGAAATATAGTTCCTAAAAAATGGTATTGAATAAAAGTTACTATTCAGAGTCTCAGCATAAATTCATCTAAAAATTCTCTTTTTTTATTTTTATGTTTTTTTATAGCTGACTTAACTATGAGGTGTCATCTCAGCATAAGTTCAAATTGAAATTCTGGAAAGTATTTCTCTTTTCGATATTTGATTTTTAAGTTTCTTATTGAAAAAATTTTAATAATCAAAGCAGGTTTAACTATGAGGTGTCATCTCAGCATAAAAAATAGCTAGAAATTCTCTATTTTATAATAAAACCATTTTCATTGGTCGCTCGAAAATTAGAATCAAAGTCTGGAATACTAAAATTCTAAGGAATATATTATTTTTTAGCTGTGCTTAGTTTTCAAACAATTTTTGAAATAGGAACATTTTCGAAAACTTTGTAAAATTGAAACATTTTTCAATTTTAATTCGAATATATTTCCCCTTTTTTATTTTTAATTATGTAGACAAGGAAATTCGAATTCTTCTAGAAACTTGGCAATTTAATTTGTACGAAATTGAGCACAAAAACTGGAGCTTAATTAATTTAAAGGCAGCACATTTAGATACCCTTACAAAGTGTGTGTTCGTTCGTTGCGTGTTTATTCATGCGCACAACATTCAATTGATTTGCAACCTCAATTAAACTTGTTCCACTTGACACCAATCGAGAACTGTCCACAATAAAATATAGACACATAGTATATCGAGGGCCCAGTCAAACAAAATTGTCTATAACTGAATTTCCTAGGCGTGTTAGTTGCCGTTTCAATTGAACGTCAGCTAGAATTTTCATTTATTTCTATTTTCATTTAGCAGAGCGACAAAAAAAAGGGGCTCGTCTTCTAGCTAGGGGCATATTTTTTGTTTGTACTTACTTCGTACTCTTTGCAGGCCGCGTCGCTCCGTGTTCGACATGTCGCACGTTTGAACTGCAAGAGATGAAAAATAGAAAAGTTTAATATATATGATTTATGGTAATGATATCATGTGATGTGCATGTCTTAACTTATAGACTCGCAGCTAATGAAAATCTTATCTTATCTTATCGCTATCTCGCACGTCTCGTCTCGTGTTCGCCAACTGTGACCCGAAACGTGCTTGATAGCATATTGAAAGTGGTTGCCAGTGCAAACAGATAAAACAGATACTCGACTCGAAAGGTGAAAAAGAAGGTGACTCACAGCCAAAAGGAAGCTCGTAGATAACGCCGAGGCACATGATAGAATGAACGAATGAACGAACGGGCTGCTCATTCATAAAACTAACTATTCAGATATGAAATGCCAAAAGTAATCCCAGGCAAAGTCTAATCGAGCTGCTTATCGTGAATAGGTTGTCTCTGCCGCCTAAAATCACAATCGAGCACTAAATATAAAGTAGACCCCTATATATAAGTACCACAAATCCATTAATATAATTGTTATCTCTGATACCTTTGCTGGCGCCATTGATAAATCACACCTGTTGTCGCTCCAAGTGCAGTCGAACAAGCTGAAGAACTATAGAGTAGATAAAGTTGGGAAGGAATGGAGTAGGAGGAAGAGGAAGCGACAAGTTTAGGCATATCTGAGATATAGCTTAAGACAATATGGAACTAAGATATAGTAACTTTTTCATATAAGAATTCATCTGAAGGAATGGACTAGGACTTAAGGAAATTATAAATTTAGCTTAAGGCAATATGGAACTCAGATATAATAACTTTTGGATATAAGAATTCATCCGAAGAAATGGACTAGGACTAGAGGAAGTTATATATTTAGCTAAAGGCAATGTGGAACTAAGATAAAATATCTTCTGGCTATAAGAATTCATCCGAAGGAAATTATAAATTTAGCTTAAGGCACTAAGATATAATAACTTCTGGATATAATAATTCTTCAAGCTGGCATCTGCTCTGGCCAGGCTCAAGTCTGAGCTCATGAATGTGAAAAGGTTTCAAATCTTAAAACTCCTTCTTCCTCCCCCTTCCTCATCGCAGCCCCTATTTTCCACTGTATTTCGCCTTCTTGAAATTTCCAAATGAATTAATTTATCAGCCAGCTCAAGGAATTAATCAAACTTTGTGAAATTCTGCCAGTCACTTTATTGAAATTTCTACTCTTTCGCTCAGTGCACAAGTATGCAAATTTTTGTTGGAGTGCACATGTTTAAGTCCAGACTGCATAATAATGAGTGTCAAGTTCTAAGTTCGGCCCTAGCAACCGACCGCAGCCAGTAAACATATGTATTATCCAAAGCAACAGTCAACAAAGTCAATTTGAATAGCGCGCAAATATTTGGCAACAAACCAAGCACAATTGCCCATGTTTGTGGGCCGGTTACAAACATCTAACCATATATTTATGCCCCAAACCCAAAGTGGGTACAAAGGGTATGAAGGGTATATGTGTTACAGGCAACAGGAGGCATCGCCTTGTCAAGTCCGTCTGTTCGTCTGTAATTTCTCTTCGATATCTTCTTCCATTAACATTTGATCGATAGAAATTATCTTTGAGGAATTTAAGTTATCGAATGGAATGATTTTTGGATATTTCCTCTCCATATTTTCGATATCTTCTTCCATTTACATATTATTTCGAGGCACATAAATTCTCGTATAGTTAAACAGATTTTACAAAAGTTTTACTTTTTTAAAACCTTTTCACGTTCTACCCTAATTTAAGATATATAATATATGTATATAATATTTTTCTTTGATATTTTATCCCATTTACATATTATCGATAAAAATCGATATTGTTTTTTTGGCATAATTCGAATATTAGAAGAGCTGAAATGGGTGTCTAAGTTGTCGGATCTTAAAATATTTTGATTTTTGAATATTTCTTTTCTTTCCCACTAATTTAAAGCACATTTTTTCGATACCTTCTTCCATTTTCCTAGTATCGATACAATTCGAGTTTGACGAGTGGTTTTTTAGGTTTTATTTGAAAATCGAAGAGATAGACAGACAGTATATATATATCCTCGTAAGGCATAAAAAAAATTTATAATATTTCAATTTTTTGATACATTCCCTCATTCCCCCCTAAATTGAGAAAAAGCTCCCTTTAATAGATAGAGCCTTGCGCTTTGGTATACACACACTTTTTTATGATATGTTGAAGCGCAGCAAAATTTAGAAAGATCGGACTATACACACCGAAGTCAATCGGGAACACATTTCCCATTGTGTGGGATTGAGGAAAGGATTAATACAGCATCTGCATAAAGAGCGCATCATGGGGATTTATTTGGGTTCAGGGTATCTGCTAGTCGAGCACTCTTGCTTGTATTATATGCTATGGCTATATGTAACTGTCGTTGTCCTTGTTAGACATGATTGTTGCTCAGCGTGTTGCCATGTTATTAGCCGCATAAAATGCGGAGTCTCTCATTCGATGTGCTTGTAATTAAATATACAATTGTACAATTGTGTGCCTTGTGCATTGGCTATATACGACATATGTCTGTATGTCTCTATATGCGAATATTCAGGCAATCGTCTGCCCAATTCAAATCGTACGTCATCTGCTGACTAAGTCTCGGCGACCCCATCTATATATATATAAATACTTATATCTATCTGTGGATAAGTATTTTTCTTTTTTCCCGAAAATAGCCGCATCTTAATCTCCTGCAACTTTTACTGGCATTACATTTACACTTTCATGAGGCGTATCTTTAAGATACTTTTCTTGATAATGCGCTTTCAAAAGAAAAGTTTTTGTTATCGTATTTAATTGAAATTTCTGCAAACTTTATCTTATCTTAATTGCAATTTAAGCTTTGTTCAGCCCACAAAAGCTTATTTATTGATAGAAGTTCAATTGAAAATGTATTAAAAATTGCATTAAATTTAAATTGAATTAAATTAAATTGAATATATATTTTTTTTTAAACTTTTTTTATTTTAATTTTAAAAAGCTTACTTAAATTCTTCTTTTAAAGTTTTTACTTTACTTTTAAAAAACGCACTTAAATATTTTATTTAAAACATTTATTTGAATTCAAAAATATTTTACTTTTTATAAACTTAAAAATTTTAACTTTTCTAAAATATATCAAAAGCGCTCGCAGTTTTATATATAACCCTTGAAAATATAAAAACTGATAACGTTTTTTCACTTTTTGCGTTCTTAAAAACTTACTAAAATATTTTTTTAGAATTTATAACTATTATTGCGATTTAAAAGATATTCAAATATTTTTTTTTTATTTTTAATCACGTTTTTTATTTAAAGGTGCTAATTTCCGAAAAATTTATTTGAACTTCCTTAAATAATAATTTAAATAAATAATATTTTGTTTAAAATACGTTTATCCTCCATTTTTACTTTCTATTATTATTATTATTATTGTTACTTTGCATTTTGTATTTTTTAAAATATTTTTAATATATTTTTTTAATACATATTTTTTAAAACACTTCCCAAAAACTCAAACCATTAAAACACCTTTTAATAAAAAAAGAACTTACACAAAAAACTTTCGATTTTAACACTAATTAAGCAAATTCTTTATATGCAAAAGTATTGAAAAACTGCCCCACTTAAAAGTCGCAAAAAAATCGACTTCCTGGAAATCTTGACAAATTTAAAAATATATATATTTGTCTATATTTGGCACTCACCTTGAACTTGAGGATGATTAAAAATGTGAACTGTTTACAGCAAACTCTGTAATTGGCACAATTTTTTGTACAATTTAATTATTTTCCAGTTAATTCACACAATTTCCAAAACAGAATGCGCGACAACAAAAAATTCACGCGCGTTTTTTTTGTGAAGGATTTTTTTGTTTTTTTTTTGTCACTGTCGCACTTACATATATGCGTATATATGTAAGCGCCAAAATGCACACACACACACTCACACAGACACGCACACAGAGACACACACGCGTTGTATTACACCAATTAAATGTACATAACAGTAGTTTTACGTTTGCTGTTTTTATCTCTTCTCCTTTGCTTTTTATTTTGTCGGTCTTCTTGAAAAACTTTGCTTTATTCTCAAAAATTTTGTGCGGCAGCTGTTTGTTTTATTTTTGAATAGCACTTTGAGCGCAGCGCATGCGCAGGCAACATTTAATTTTAAGCTAATTTTCTTGATACGATTTCGACCAGAAAATTTTCGAACAGTTGACGGCGGCGGCTGAGTTGCGCCTCTGGCTCTTTGCCTTTGCTTCTATTTTGTTTCGTCCGCTTTTTGCCTGCGCCTTTGCCAGCTGCTTGACACTCCGATTGTTGGAACTGAACTGAAAATGTTGCCTGCGCGACAGCCGCTTTTTCTTTGCTGCGAGCAGGCGACGCCAGCGCCGTTGACGTCGACGCTGCCGCTGACGCAGACGCCGTAGCTGACGCTGACAGCATTGGCGCTCGGTTCAATGGGGCTGTTTTTACAATGGATCGCGTTCAAGTGTTGGTGCTGCTTCTGTCGCTGCCGCCGCCGCCGACGCCGCTGCTTTAGCTGTTGTTGTTGTTGTTATAGTCGCCGTCGTCGTGGGATGCAAAATTCAAATTTTTGTGCTGTTTGTTTTATTTTTGTGCTGTACCTTTTACGGTTGCCCTGATTGCGCAGGGGGGGCAGAGCGGGTATGATGGGCCCGTGTAATGTTTGTAATTGCTAAATGATTAGCGGAACAGATAGCGTTAGTTTTATTTGTTGTTGGCTTTTTAAATGGGCGGCAGATGCTATTGAACTTTAGAATTTCTATTTAAATAAATAGGAATATTTTTTTACCTGTCATCAAATTGATAGTTAACAAAAGCGTTTAATAGATTATAAAATACAAATTAAAATCTTAAACTAACTAAACTTAATAACCACATTCACTACTTCATATTATTTAACTTTAATTTCAACCTCCTAAAATGTAGAAATAGAAAACATTCTTTCGAGTGTACAGGGTATCGCATAGTCGTTGCACTTGACCAGTTTACGGCTTGGCTAACCTACATATGGGCGCACACGTGTAGATATCAATTCGATTTGTCAGCGACAATTATCCAGATGCAATCGATGCAATTTAAAGGCTTTTCCAATTAAAGATACGTTTTATTGATGTTTGGGGAAGTAAATGGGACAAATCAACGCGAACTACAATCGAAAGTATTCTATGTGAAGTGTGCAAACTACTCGAATACTTCACGGGAGGTGTACAAACTACTCGAATACTCCACGGGAAGCGTGCAAAGTACTCGAATACTCCAAGGGAGGTGTGCAAAGTACTCGAATACTCCACGGGAGGTGTACGAACTACTCGAATACTCGATGGGTAGTGTGCAAAGTACTCGAATACTCCACGGGAGGAGTGCAAAGTACTCGAATACTCGATGGGTAGTGTGCAAAGTACTCGAAGTACTCTGTACTCGATACTCGGTGCTCGGTACTCGGTATTCGGTGTCAAATCGAGAAGCGCGTCCAACGTTCCACCAGGCTGGGCCGCACCACCGTCGTGATGCGCTCATCGAAAATGGGCGCAAACTTTTCGGGAAACTTGTGCTGCAGGCACCTGATGACCGTGCCGGTCAGATAATAACGGGACGGCCAACGGCACTCGCACGGCGGTATGCAATGGACGCAGGTATTCTGATGGGCGATCCATTTGCTGCGCGTCGCCGGCAACGAAACCGCCGACGGCTTGATGCATTTGATGCGCCACGGCAGCCGGGTATCCCGCGCCTGCCACAGGCACTCGCAGGGCGGGATGCACACATGACAGATCGGATCCTCGGGGCTCTGCGACTCTAGATTGGCAGCGACCTCCAGCGCCTGGGGACAGCGATACATATGGCGACGCGGCACCAGCGCAATCAGTTCCGTGTATTTGCGTTCACGCTCGCGGCGCAGCCACATCTCGAGCAGGTCCCAATGGTCCAGATTGAGCGCACGCTCCCGTATCAGCTGCATGCGTCGGAACAGATCCGAGCGACGCACTGCATCATAGTTGACGCCCGTTTGTGTGTGCCACAGCAAATAGAGCTCGTTGGGATTCTCATCCGGCAGCGAGATGTTGCGCGAGAATTTCGCCAGCTCGAAGTGAAACAACATCCGTATACCGTACGTAATATGCTTGATGTGCTCAAAGTTCTTGATATTCATCGCCGCCAAAGCATTAGCGTCCAGCAGCAACAGCTTCTTGCCCCAGATCAGGTTCACGCGGAACGTGTTCTATGGAGTTGGTAAGAAAATTTTCTATACTTAATGTGTATAATATATAGCTACATACCAAATCTGGTGTATATAGCTCTTATAGTTCTCGAGTTATGTTGAGTTGGATGGAATACTTCCTATACTTAATCATGATAAGTTTGATTTTTTATAAAATATATATTTATATATACCTACATATCAAATCTGGTGTATATAGCTCTTATAGTTCTCGAGTTATGTTGAGTTGGATAGAATACTTCCTATACTTAATCATGATAAGTTTGATTTTTTATAAAATATATACCTATATATACCTACATATCAAATCTGGTGTATATAGCTCTTATAGTTCTCGAGTTATGTTGAGTTGGATAGAATACTTCCTATACTTAATCATGATAAGTTTTATTTTTTATAAAATATATATCTATATATACCTACATACCAAATCTGGTGTATATACATAGCTCGTATAATCCTCGAGTTATGCTGAGTTGGAAAGAAAATTTCCCATACTTAATGATATGTTTTATTGTTTATAGAATTTATATATGTTTATATAGCTACATACCAAATCTGGTGTATATAGCTCTTATAGTTCTCGAGTTATGCTTAAAAAAGCAATTCTGAAAATCGATATTTATCGATATTTTTAAAAAAAGTACTACGCATAAATATTTAATTAAGAAACGATTTCCCTATTTAATATCATATTTACAGCTCTATATTATTTCAAAAGGAAGGTTCTTTAAAAAATACTTTAGGTTCATTTAGAAATTTACGTCTATTCGAAATGATATTACGAGAAGAAGCATAGTTTATTTAGTTTGAATTAAGAAAGGATTGCTAATATCATATTAGAAATTAATCTTATTGAAAAAAAGGTTCTATAAAAAATACTAAAATACTATTCGAAATTTATATCTATTCGAAATTATATTACCAGAAGAAATATAGTATATTATTTTAAATGAAGTAGTCGCTCGAAGTTTCGAACTAGATCTTTTCGAATCAAATTATGAACATAACAAATGAGTTTCGGGCAATGTTTGGGAACTTAGATACCCGGTAAAATTTCCGGAAACTCACCATATACTGTGGGTAGCCATAGCTTTTGATCCAGCGCCGAATGTCCATGTCGTTCCATTCATAAACCGTTGGCAGGGGCAATTTGTCGACAACATTTACGCACAGCTCGACAAGGGAATCGGGCTGGACCCGGAACTGAATGGGCCAGGCATTACGATCAAATTTCACGTGACCCACGTACCGGGGATGATTCCGGAACTTGATGGGCGGATATTCGTTCAGCTTCTTTTTCTTCTTGATCACGCTCTTCTTCACCAGAAACTTGGTGTCCGCGATCCCGTAAAGATAGGGCATTCCGTGTCCGTATCCGTGTCTGTGTATGCAGTGTATAAGGTATTACAAAACCCAAAATTTCGCTTAGCCACTAAACAGACTGTTTGAAAAAAAGCATTGTGTTTTATATCTAGATACAATTGACATATCGAGTGTTGCTTGCTGCTGTTCGATTTACGACAAGTTCCAGAGATCTTTCAAGTAGTTAAGATCGTGCTCGAACCTTCTCGTGTTGCATGTGCATACCCTGTGAGCATACAATGGACCAAAGCGGGTGTATTATAAAATTGTGCTATTATGAGTAAATTATGGATAAGGGGTATTTGCTATAAGATTTATATATTATAATATTGGATATGTATTCAAAGCTTTTAGGATATTATTTTATACCCTGAACCCAATGTAAATGGGTAAAAGGGGTATTCTGTTTTTGTCTAAATGTATGTAACAGGCAGAAGGAAGCATCTTCGACACCATAACATATATATATATTCCTGATCAGCATCAATAGCGGAGTCGATCTAGCCCTGCCCGTCCGTCCGTCCCTCCGTTCCTCTGCCCGTCCGCCTGTCTGTCTATCCAATTGTATAAACGCGTCGATCTCAGAACCTATAAGAGCTAGAGACTTGCAATTTTAAACGTAGATCCTCATAGTGCCGCGCAGTACGAGTTGCTTTTCGCTAATCGATAACTTGCCCCATTTTCAAACAATCGATAAAAATCGATATCGAAATAGTGTTTTTTGAGCTAATCTCTTAGGTTTTAAGAGCCAGAGTCACCCAATTTGGCATGTAACTTCTAAAATTATATATATAGATAAAGTATCTTTAATTTCATAATTAACGATAACGACAAATTAGATATCTGTGAAAATAATCTGTTTAGTTTTGTATTGACAAATACTAGGGTATTTTTGATGGAGATTTTTTTTATAATTTCTCGAGATTCTGAATAAGTTATAGGAAATGCTCAATAATTGGACTTGATATAGGGTATATTTCAATTTTGAATATGTATATAATTATATTTCGTATAGGGTATTTTTCAATCCTGAACTCGTAACAATACACAAGATACTTTTTAGAGATCGTGAACATATTATAAAAAATGCATCATTTTGAGACTCTACATAGGGTATTTATCAATCCTATACATCTAATAATTCACACAATCATAGGGTATTTATCAATACTGTACATATGTTAATGCATAATTTTATAGGGTATTTCGCAATCCTGTACATCTAATGATGCACACTATTATAGGGTATTTTTCGATTCCGTACATTTAATATGGGGTATTTTTCAAACCACCAAATTCGAACTAAATTTTCGAATATTCGATTTTGCTTTGTGCGCCAGTTTCGTAAACAAACAAGATGGGTGAAGAAGAAGAAGAAGAAGGAAAAAGAACAGCGAATTGTGAAACGTGCCAGGTAAATGCGTATAGCCATCGCCGGGTCATATTCCCAGCCCAAAACCCAATACACAAGGCCTGTAATACAGTTAGAAAAAAAACATCTGCTCATTTGCGTCAAACTCTATATCAACACGAAAAAAAAACCAAAAAAAAAAAACAAAAAAGAACTCAGTTATTATCCAGGTAGAGGTAAACGTCTGGCGATTAGTTTGAATTGTTTTGCAGCTCTTTTAACGGTAAAACATGGTCAAGGGCATCAAAAAACTCAGTTGTTTTTTTTTTTTATTTTTTAAATACCCTTGCAAAGGGTATTATAATTTTGTCATTTCACAGAACTCAACATTTTGTAACTAATTAAGTTTTTATTTTCTTGATTGGGATTAATAGATAAGTCGGGTTCTAACTATCCATCAATTTACCTGTCTATGTTAACTGGGCGCTCCGTGAAGCTATCTTAATGAAACCTGTTTCTGAGCTTCGTATATTTATATATACATATATTTATATCAGAGTCGAAGGTATCGAGTCACTATATCATATAGCTAACATAGGAATAATTGATCACAACTTTAGTTTTTTAAACTCTTCTATTAATATTTTTACATTTATTATTTGTTTTTAAGATATATTTAGGAAATTTCACCCATATGATCTTCAGTTTTTATGTATCTAAATAATAAATTATATTTTATTTTATTTTTTATTTTATTTATTTTTTTATATTGGAGAAATCGGCTAAGAACTTGGCTTTGTATGATATGAACAAATTTATTATATTTTTTCGAATACTTTAACCCTACTCAACATTAAAGAGATAGCATATCTCTTAATCTCTATATATGAAACAGTTCCCTAACATAAAAGTAAAATCTTTTCATCGGACTACTTTATTAAGTAGATCAATTACATATAAGATACATTTAATTGGGATTACTATATCAGGTAGTTACCTAAGATAAAATTGAAATCTTTTCATCAGAGTACTATATCATGTAATTTCCTAACATAAAAGTAAAATCTTTTCATTGAACCACTATATTACCTATAAATAGAATCTCTTATTCGGCTTACTATATCATATGAGTCTCTAATATTTTATTTAAATGTTTTTATCGGATAACTATAACATGAAGATCTCTAACATGTTATACAAATCTTTTCATCAGAAGACTATATCATGTAGATCCCTAACACATAAGTTTAATATTTCATCGGACTATTATATTATATAGTTCCCTAACATATAAGTCAAATCTTTTCATCGATACTTCTTTTCAACGGAACCCTATATTATATAGTTCCCTTACATATCAGATACATCTTTTCATCGGATCACTATATCATGTAGATCCCTAACATATTAGTCAAATCTTTTCATCGGATAACTATATCATGTATATCCCTAGTAATCTCTATTTCGTCAAATCTTTTCATCGGAACACTATATCATAAAGTTTCCGCTAGAAAAAAGGGTGTACATTGCTTTCTATCCTTAAAAGATACCTGGAACCAAGCTAGGTAACAAGTTTTACTATGTTTCCAATATATAATCTTCTTAACAGTGAATGACTATAGCATATAGATCCGATAGGAAACATCTGCTATATGTCTGCAAGGGTATTTAAACTTCGATTGTAGCTTTATTTTGTTTGTTTCTTTTCTTTTCTTTTTTTGGCATTTGCTGTTCGTATTATCTTCGAGACGGCGGACTTTGAAATGGAATCGCTTTGGGGCAACTGCCTCGCTGAGTCACCAACAATAACAACCTCTCCCTCCCCTCTCCCCCTCCCGCACCTCTGCGTTCGCTTCACGTGACGTTCCACCTGCGGGGGTATTTTTTGAAAACACGTTTTTTATTTACATTTTATTTGTTCAAATCGCTTTCAATCCCGCAATCAAAAAATGGAACTTTAAGTTAAATAAATGTTGTTTGTCTTCTCATTAGCATGAGCTTGTAAATTTTTTTTGCAACATTCAAAAACACTTTGTCACAGCTCAAACTATTGTAAAATTTATTAATAAAAATAAGCTTAAAACATTTATTAATTAGGAAATACCATAGGAAGTCAGGCAAGCAATTAAGCGGTTCGCCTTAAGGGTGGCCCACTGTATATCAGTTTGAGACTTATAAATTACATGGATCATGCTGCATACCAAACTAACCGCCGCGGCTCCATAATTAACAGCACTCCCCCTCCCCCTCCCCCTCCCAGTCACCGTTCCCGCCCCTCTCCGAGATCCCGTCAAAGTCGAAGCTCTACTTAGCAATTGTGGCGCATAGTTTCGGTTTCTAAATATAGTACTAGCCGGCCAACAGGCAGCACTCGCATTGTTGAACCAAAGTTAAAGACAAATTCATCAAATTAATAAAAAGGTGTAAAGTTTAGGGATCGCATTCCCATGAGCACGAAAGACAGTAAATGTTGAGCTTTAAGCTTTTCTATTTCAATAAGATAATAAATAACTAATAAAAAATATTTCAAGATAATGAATCAATTTAATTAACATGCGATCGTTTACTGACATTGATCACAAATATTAGTGTTATTTTAAACAAATTATGTATATTCAGTTTTAAAGCACAAATAGCTTTAAGTGAGTTTATGAAAGCTGACTCAAAGCTTAAAACTCTGCAGTATTATAATTTATTATTATTTATTTAATATTAGTATTATATATTATTAGTTTCTATTCATTATGTCAAATAAATATTATTATGACAATCTTTAAAATCACAAGCTCAATCAAGTTGCGTTAAGTAAATTCACGAGCTTAAAGCTCCACATTATCCCTTTCCCTTTTATCAAATCTAGTATTATACAATTTATAGAATTTTTCAACTAAGCTTTTTATTAAAGACGAAAGCTTTGGCAAATGAAAAATGTACAGGCTCAAGATAACTTTAATTGAGCTTTGATTGTTTTAAGTAAATCAAAGAAAACTTAGCCTAACTACTCAAAGAAAAACAAAAGCTTAAAGCTTGTTTAATTAACTAATAATTTACTTAAAGCTTATGTACATTAGGTAAATTAAAAACCGAACTTAAAATGTGTAACTAGAAAGCTTAGATGTGATAAATTTTTTAGCATTTAAGACTTCAAAAGCTTCTACCTGTAGTTCACCGCAACGAATGTGTACTGTATTTAGCAAACCTAGAATGTAGCTTTAAGTTCTCCTCGAGGTAGCTTTAATAAGTTAGTAAGCTCGAAATCTTAAAGCTAACTTCTATTGAGCTTGTCGCTTGTAAAGTTTGAAAGCGTCTACTTGTAGTTCAGCCTATCGAATGTGTACCGTACTTAACTGCCAAGTATACTAGAATGCCGCAACAAACAACAACAATAACAACAACAGCATCGGCAACAAACACATTTCACTTTCGTTTAAAAAAAGGGGCTTGTAAACGTTTTTTTAGTCGATCGGATGGATATGGACATGGGACATGGGAAATGGGAGGGCAATAAGTATAGACAACGACGCCACCATGAAAAATGAAAATGATATGTCCATGTATGGGGTATGGGGTATGGGGGGCAGTGCAACAAGCGGCAACAATAAATTAAGATTCTATTTTTGTAGCTAACTTGAATTACAACGATGCCGCAGCCGCTGCCGCCGCCGCCGCCGGCTGCTGGTCAACTGGTCAACTG